CCCGCTCCCACAGCCTCCCTCTGGAGCAACATTGCTCCCAGCGCTGCCTTCTAACACCTGGAGCAGCAGGGAGCTGGAGCCGGGAGCCGGCGCTGCTCCCGGCCGCGGGGCAGCTCTGGAGCCGGGAGCCGGCGCTGCTCCCGGCCGCGGTGCAGCTCCGGGGCAGCCGGTGGCGCCGGCAGCGGGGAGGCTGCAGCGGGTAAGGGGAAGCTGTCGCTGCGGGCGGTACTTGAAGAGCTGCTTTGCCTTTTGGGGCGCGAGGCCGAGCGAGCCTCCCTCCTTAGTTTGGTGTCGGTGGCGTTAGGCCGTGCCCCGCCGCAAGCACCCAAGGGCTCCGTGTTAGAGCACTGGTTTCATGGGGCTTGGAAACGCGCTCAGGCCCTGCTACCGCCTCCCTGTTTGTGTGGCAGCAGGCTGAGGTTTCACCCCCCACAGCAGGGCTCGGCCTCCCCCCTTGCTGTCTTCCCTCGTGGAAGCCAGAGGGGAGCTCAGGCCTGGCTCTAATTTCCAGGCAGGGGCTGAGGGATCAGCCCAGCTCCCAGGCGCCATGGCCGCTCACGCTGCAGCACGAGGCTTGTCCAAGGCTAAGCTCGTGCACAGTTATTTTGAGAGGGGAATCACACCTTTCGTCAAACCATCCTATCAAAATCCTGTCTCTCCCAACTTTGGATTTTTCACAGTAGTAAAGTGGCAGTGGTTTTTCTTTTTTTGTTGTTGTTACTTCAATGCTATAATTTTTGCAAGCTTGACGTTTAATATTCAAAGCTCTAGCAAAGAGCCAAGCCTGTGAAATGAACCCCTCAGATCAGTTCTTCAGGCAGGGCATTATTGGCATGCCTAAGATTCCTCCTCGCCTGCAGCAGCGCTGACCCCAACAGCAGCACCCAGAGCCCGTGCTGGAGTATCCCAGCTGCTGCCTGTGCCCAGGGCTCCCGCAGGCAGTGCCAGGAGCCACCGTGCCAGGAGCAGCACCCGGCCCCAGCGCAGCCCTCCCTGTCCCACGCAGCAGTCAGACCCTCTGTTTCTACACAGAGGTGTTACAAAGAGAAACAGCAACAGTTTTCTCAGTTGAAAAGCAAATGACCCCAGCACTTCTTTCAAAGGGAGAAAGTTGACTTAGGACTTGGATAGTTTATAGATTTGGGGACCGGTTGTTTATACACTCCGTTTTAAACCACCCTCCTCTCTTTCACTGGCCTGAACGCTGAGAACAGCGTGCACGCTGTAGCTGAGCTTGCCCCCGCACCGCGGGCGAGGAAGAGTGCTCCGACCCTCCTGCCTGGTGTCTCCCAGGCAGGTGTCTGCTGCGGCCGATGGCTGCTGCTCGGTGCTGCGGCACCGTTAGAGGCTGCAGCTTGTGCAGGGAGCTCCGAGCCGCTCTGCGTCTCACCTGGAGCAGAGCTTCTGCAGGCACGGGACCCAGCTGGAGCTACCGTTTTTTCCTTCCAGCTGAGACTGAAGCGGTTGTGCTTTTGTGACACTGCTTTAACTGGAGCCAGCGTTGGGTTTTGCATTTTTTTTCTCTTTTCTTCTGATGGCAACAAAGGCTCCAACGCGCCTGAGGCAGCTAGTGCCGCCTGGGGAGTGGAGCACAGCAGCAGTTTAGCTGCGTGCTCTACACGCAGCAGCAGTTCAGGCCCGTGCTCCCCTCCGCACGGCCCCCCACTCGTGCCCGGGCTGCCGGCACCCAGCCCTGGGCCCGAGGGGCGGGCAGGAGGCAGGGCAGGCGCGGGGCTGCTGCCGCGCCAGCCCCGCGCCCAGCGCCGCACACCCCACAGCACCGCAGCCTCGGTCACTGCACATGAAGCCACGAGGGGTGAAAACCAGCACCACAGCACCAGGCAGGTCTGGCATGAGGAGGTTTTTTTGTTGATTTTTTTTTAATTAATTAATACAAAGCTAGGAGGCTGTACCAGGAAGGAAGGAGGACAGTTCCCTGCACTAACCCCCAGTTACAGCAGTGGTCACACACCATGGAGAGGGAGCTCCAAGCACAGCCTCCTCCTTCCAGGCTACGTTTAAACACGAGTTTGTCCTTCCTTCTCTCCAGCCCCAGTGTAACACAACTGTTTTATTTTCCATTTTGCGTAAGTCTCATCCACAGGGAAGAAATCCCCAAACAAACCAGTGTTGGTATTCCAGAGCAATTATACCTGCCTTTTTATGTATGACAGTTTCATATCATTTATTTTTAAAATACGTTTTTTAGGTTTTTCATTGTAAGATTATTGTACAGTTTTGCATGGCGTAGATGTAATCACTTCTTTTTTTGTTTTAGCGTAAGCTGACAAGTGTGCGTGTGGGGGAAAGATTCTGCTTTTTGCCTCTTCTCACTCTTTTGTTTAATGCCCTCGATGTTGTAGGGGACATTGTAAGAGATTCTCTGCTACAGAACAATGATGTAGATTCTTTTGCACAGAAATATTTAAGGTGGGGAAGTCAACAATGTAATAAAGGACTTGCCACCACTATTTTATGTTGGTAACACACTTAATATTAACCTACTTTGATGTACTGCAATAAAACAGGGAACTGTTAGAAATGCAGCTGGTTTGTCTTTTTTCCCCCCATTAAGACTGGACGAGGAAAGGGGAATAACGGTGTGCTAGCGGAAAACAATTCCAGCATCTTCCTACAGCCCTACACAGGGGCACACGGGCGGGACGCGGAGGTGTGTGCCGTTCTGGCCACCAGCAAGACCCCCTCAGAAATTTACCCAGCAGCTTTTTAAGAGGTCAGTAGAAGTCAGGCCACCCTGTGCTTGTGCATACTGAGCTGCATCGCTGCTGCTTTAGTTCTCAGGGCATTTCTCTACCTCTTGGGCCACTCGTCATCATTCCTCCTGGGCTTCTTCCTCCCCGTGCCTGCAGTTACTGGCACCGTCTTTCTTCAGCTCACAGACACACAGGAGGGGCCGGGGCTTGGGAGCAGCCGCCCATGCCAGGGCACGTGCATCGCAGCCTGAGCTTCCACGTGGCTCCCTCAGCTGTCCCCAGGTTCGAGACTGGTTCCTCCTTGTTGCTGAGCTGCAGGCCCCAGCCCTCCTTAAACTCACCTCTCACACCTGCATCCCATTTCTCTATGGCCCCCAGGAGCCCCTTCCCCTCTGCCTGGCTCCCAGGGAGGAACCTCTCCCATTGCTGAGGCAGGAGCTGCGCAGCCCTTGTCCCATCCCCAGTTCTCCCTGTGGGCTGCGCTCCCCCTGGAGCTGGGAGACACTGTCCCTGCCCTCCTGCTTGTACCTCGAGGCCGTGCCTGTTGCCCACAGCCCCAGGTGCCTGTTACAGCTAGGAAACTCCTGGGAAAGGAGCGGCTGCCACGGCAGGAGGTGCAGGCGGCAGCAGCCACGTGTCCCAGCTCCACAGCGGTCACTCGGGCTTGGGGCAACAGCCAGGCCCATGGGAAAAGCAAGGGTCAAGCAGCAGCTGCTGTCACCTGCAGCCAGGTCTTTGGCCTGGAAATGCCTCAGCTTCAGGGAAAAGCAGGTGGTGCTTCCAGTTTGCACTGGGGAACAGAGAGGTGCCGGCTACACGCGGGTTCGCCCAGAAGGGCGGTGGGCAGAGAACACTCCTGCCTCAAGCTGCTCGCGTGCTCAGGGCAGCTTCCCCAGCCCCTCAGGGGAAGCGGCCCCAGGGCAAGGCCTGGCTCCCTGCTCATGTCACAGCTCCACCACTTGAAGGCAGAGCAGCGTTTCTGGCTCCCCTTTTTCCCCCGTGGCTGTTCCCCTGACATCTAATTCTCACGCCCCAAACTTCCCTGGACGATTACTATTAGAGCCTTTGGACTGTGCCCAGCCCTGCTGCTCGAGCACAGCACACATGAGACCTCTGGTCACGTCAACCAGCCTGTGGGTACGGGCACTGAGCTCTGCTTACTGCACCAGTCACACCTCTCGGTCCTTGGCCTTCTTCATGGGTTTGCTGAACACACCCACTCTGAAACTCAGAAGTCTTAGACGCACTGAAGTTAGTCCTGGTCCCTTGTCAGATTTCTATACTTTGCTTTTTTAACCTTGAACAAACACTTAGCATCTCAAACAGTTCTCCTGGTTACAGCTGCCAAGCCCAGCTCCAAAGCACAAACCAACTAAGCAAGTATATGTGCGCCCAAAACAAAATGGGATGTTAGTCTATCAGTGCATCAACTTCGACAGCTTTATGCAGTTTATATCACTGACCAGCAGAGCTAGCGCTTCTCAAAGGACTAGAAACAGCCCAAGATGAGGACATTTGGTTAAACAAAGCACAAGATCTTTCTAAAACAGGTTCATGAAGCAGTTCCTATGTTCCTGACCTTAGAAGCAAGGTAGTAACAACTTCTTTTCCTGTTTCTCACCAGTACCTCCTTTGTATAGAGCCCATGCATTCACATACCTCTGTCTGAAGGTGGCAGCAGCCTCCGCGGGTCCTGCCGTTTGAGCTCGCTGTGTCCACGGCGCGAGGCCAGGGCTGCTCCTGTGCGGTGCTGCCGAGGTGCTGAGCCCAGGCCCCCCGGGCCAGCAGCACCTCCAGCAGCAGCTGCTCCTCCCGCGCAGCCGGAGACAAGAGGCCTGTGTTCAGGAGACTGGTAACAGAGTGAGGAAAACACAGCAACCCCCACAAACGCAAGTACGGGATTTTGTGTGGACAGACAGAAAAAAAGACCCACATCCTACCCCCAGACGCACACCAGCTCATAGTAAACTTGTCTCCCTGAACACTAGTGACACACCTGCAATAGAAAGATGAAGGAAGAAGTGGGTCCGGGGCTGCCTTTGCTCCAGGAATCTCTGCTTGCCCCTGAAACAGACCTGCAACAGGGAGAGATTTGGAAGCCTCCCCTTCACCTCAGCTCCTCTTTCTCCCCTAAACAAGACAGGGCTCACTGGGATATTCTTTACCCTGCTGGAAGGTGGAATAACTGCAGGCAGGAAAGCCCACCGCACAAGCACTTTTTTATTGAAATCAGTAAGTAATACAGGTACAGGATTTGTACAAAAAATCCAAGAAAATACTTTGCTAGCTTGACTCCAATGGTCTAAAACTGTGCGTCTGCTTTTAACCATGTAGGACATGTCAGCAAAAGCTCAAAATGCTCATGAGACATGAAGTGTTGGCCTGCCTCGCCACGCGTTGGCATTACAGGAAACCAGACAGCAAGAGAGACAAGCCAGCTTCTTGGTTAGGAGTCCAGCAAGCAACGGGTGCCAGAGTCGGAAGCTCGTGTAACTTGTGGTGAGGAAAGCTGATACCTACCAGGCAGTGAAGGATCCCGCTATTTGTGCTCCATCAGCTCTGTTGAGGCTGTATTTGACTCCCAGAACGGAGATGGGCTGTGCGTGCAGACTGCGTGTGTGTGTGTGTGTGTGTGTGTGTGTGTTTAAAAAAAAAAATGTAATTCTCATTAAGTCTATTATTTCCTATGTTTAGTTTGCAAGCCAAAAAGGGGCAGAAAGCATAAAACTTCATCCTATGCACACGCGCACACACACGCACACACACCCCTTCCATTAAATCAGTAAGATCCAGGCGGGTTCTTGGACTACTACCACTTAACTTACAAAAATAGAGGGCTGAGGGTGTCTGTGGTAGGGTACATCTCAATATTTGCCTCTAATTCACAGTAAGAAAACTACTTAAATTTCACCTTTGCTTGAAAAAGGGAGGGGCTTTTTAAAAAACAAATTTCAGAGGATTACAAAGAGGTTTCAGTACTGGCAAGTCCTGCCCGTGCTCCTTGCCCTGCTCGTGTACAAGCCGGCCGCCACGCAGCTGAAGAGGCGCTGGGGGTCCGGCCGCGCGGAGCCCCGGCACTCGGAGGAGCTCCCTGCAAGCTGGGCGCTGCACTGCGAGTCTTAGCGGAGAAGAGACACAGCAGGAAAGAACTACGTTGTCCTGGTGAAAGGCGCTCGGCTCCCGGGGCACTTCAGGAGGCTGGAGAGCTCCTGCCAGGCTCAGCCGGACTGCGCCCTCGGAACAGGAGGTGCTCGGTCACACTCGCTACTCCTCAGGCTTCTTGCCCCTGCTGCTCCAGTACTTGCTGTACGCCTCCTGGAACATCTTCTTGCAGGGGATTTTGGCCTTCAGTTTGGTGCAGATAAGGAAAGAACCGCCCATCTTCCGGTGAAGGGAGTAGGTCTCCTCTGGCGGAGGGACAAGCCGATGCTTCAGCATGACTGGGATGAGGCCGTGGATCTTTTCGGTGGTGCTTTGGTTGCCAAAATCAAAAGGTTCCTCAGAGGCAAAAGCCTCTCCCAGGATGAGGACAGCATTTAAGTGGGCATCTTCCATTTCCTGCCCAAAGGAAAGAGGCATAAGTAACATCACTAGCAAAAAGGGAATAGGGCTAACGGCAGGTCAGGGTTGACGCCTGGCAGTCCCCACTACCGAGGGAACATCCCGTCCCCGGCAGGGATGAACACTTGATTAGCACAGTCTGGAGCAACTCAAGTTGCTCCACATCTCCCAAGATCTCAGACACGACCTGCAGGGCCTCCTTAGAGGAGTGGGCGCACAACTCACCCCGCACACTTTGTGACCAGGCACTATCATTGCTGCTTCTGTTCCCAAAGGAAGGTGAAAGGGCAGAAGCTGAGCCACTTTGTGCCCTTCTCCCTCCCCCAAGAGCAGCTCCATAGGCTGTGATTGGCTTTTCCTCATCAGGATGCTAGAGAAGGGCCCAGACCCACATTCTTTAACAAACTTGTCTTCTGGCCAGCACTCAAAACAGACTGCCCTACTCCATACCTTGACTTCATAGCCAGTGAGGAATTTCATCTCAATTGACTTCTTCAGCACTCTTTCTCTGTCCATGTCAGCAGCTGCCTTGATTACCTGAACAGGAGGGACACTTTCAGGAGCACTACCAGACGACACAAAAATGCTTCGAGTACAAGACTAACATGTCCCCGACTTGCTCGTGCTGCCCCCTCCCCTACTCCACTACCCCTTTGTTGTTGTTGCTATTGTTTTTTGTCAGATTTGGAGCAGCTGCGGTTTGCAAGTTGTAAGAGCTATTGGCAAAGAAAAGAAAAAAAGCTCTTCCTAGCAGGGCTGGCCACAGCAGCCCAGAGAACATACAGACACCAGGAGAGTGTCATGGACCAGTGTCCCCGGTGAGGTCTGCCGGCCACTGCGGCTCAATTTATGGAGTGCAGGACGTTGGGATCCAGGAGGAGGCAGGTGAGACACTGCATGAATCAGTCAGTTTGCAAGGGGGCTAACAGCCACAGGACCAGAGTGACAGCCAAAGAAAAGCAGGGCCTTCATACTCTCGTATGAAACAGCACTGACTTCACAGGGGCTGCGAAGAGACGATGCCCGTCAAGTATGCTGCACTGCCCAGGTATCCCAGCAAACAGCATTAGAGCCTTCCATGTCTGTTTTGTAACTTAGATGTAACTGGGATAGCAAAAGGGTTGCAACAGGTAGGCAAAAGACTACAGTGCGGGATAGAACTAGAGATCGTTCAACCAGGAGGGGATTAAAGTGTAGACGCAGAGAGAAACAGCTAAGAATTGAGCAGGATCCTGCACATACCAAGATTTCCCAGCACAGCACTCTGCTATAGGCTTCAAGTTCTCACCTCAATGTATACATCCGTGAACTTCTCATCAAAGCCTCGTGTTGCTCCAAAGTCCAAGAGGGCCACCTGGACAGGGACAAACCTTCTGCATTACACTATGAACCACTCAGTGCTAGCCTGAGAAGACTCCTGATGAGCCTGATGAAATCACAGCTCCCTGGAGGTTTTGCCCCACAGTGCAGCTCCCCCCAGCTCCTTGCTTTCCTGACAGCAGCAGAGAGGAGCATTTACTGCAGCACATGGCAGAGGAGATCTGGTCTGTGCTTGCACCCTCCCAAGCAAGCAGCCAAACCAGCCAGCAGGACCCCAGGAATCACTTCCCCAAGCACTGCAGAGGACAAGCTCCTTAGTCTAAGGTGTTCTTGCCTCAGCCATGCCCTCGAAGACAGTGTCACAAACTGCCTCTTTCTACTGATTAGTCTCAAAGCAGACCCCACAGTCAAGGAAACACCTGGGACTGGACCCCGAGAGGAACCAGCCAGGATAACTCGCACACTAAGCAAAAACTGGGGGTGAAGACAACAGGCCTTGTCAGGTACTACCTGCCTAAGACTCAAGGGCAGGAACCCAGGAGATACCCTCAGTAGGGGCTGATTCAACTTTAGAGTGGGGAAAGAATCCCAAACTGATGAAAAGCTTCTCTTAGACAGCAGGGACAGCTGCTGTTGGGACTTACCTTGTGCAGCTGTGGGTCATAGAAGAAGTTAGACCAGTTTGGGTCAGTCTGCATGTACCGGAACTCAAACAGCTCCCGCAGACACAGGACCAGGATGTTGTGGCAGATCTTGGAAAGCAAAGGGAGAAAACAGCAAGTCAGGAGGGCAAGCAAGCCCCATAATAATTCACAGCAGACTTCAGCACATAGGCAGGAACAGTCTGCTCTGCTGGGGGCTGCAAAGCTCTCAAACAGATCACAGAGTCTCACAACTCCCAGTCCGCAGCCTGGAGTAGAACATCCTAGACAGACCCTAAGTGTCACAGCAGCCTCTAGTGCAGCTCCTGTCATCTGTGCCCATACAGCAGGCACTAGAAATCACCCAACTGCACCTGTTTTACTTGTATCCTGATCCTGTATCTTGCTACTCAGCTTTGCCTCCCCACTTTGTTTTCCCTGGGGGGTCCCAAATAGTCGGCCAGCACAAGCAGGAAAGACTGAGGAGGCACCTAATAAAGCAGTAGAGCTCATCCTGGTGGAGAGCTCTGCAGAGCATGGACAAACTCAATGCAGCCCATAGGAAAACAAGATGGAGTTCTAGGGCATTTTAGAGGTCTGGACAAGTGTCTCTTTCTGAAAGGCTTCTGAACAGTGTAGAGAGGTCCAGCTAAGTGTCCAGCTGGGCTCAGTACAGGACCAGCTGTGGAGAAGAGCCACAGGCAGACGCCTTGGACACAGGGACATGACCCACCACAGCAGCACGTTTCTGGAAGGATACTTGAGCTGCAGGACTGCCAGCCTCACGCAGCCTTTGGCCCCCACAAGCTCCAGCCTCAAGCAAAACCCCATGTACAAGGGGAAGCCAGGGAAGCGGCACATGCAAGCCAGGCCCTGCTGCAGGACACTCCTATCACCTGGCTCAGAAGGCTGGGGGCCAGTGCTGCTCCTTGCTTAGGGGCACAAGAGGGCTGCTCCTCCAGCCACATCCCAACTCAGGGGCTGCCAGAAGCAGCCAGCCCCGGCACAGCGCCAGGCCTAGCAGTGCCCCTGTGCTGCCGGGATCCGTGTCATCTGCACTCTTCCCCAGTGACCTCCTAACAGCTGAGGGAGCACACCAAGACACACGCACGGGGCAAGGAAAAAACACCACCCAACTCCAAATACCACGACAGTTATTTCTGTTAATAGAGCAGCTGCTTGTCTCATCAGCCTCCAATCCCTTGTTCTATCCAGCACCAACACCTACCGTCCCCACGCACCCCCCTGCTCTTGTTTACCAAGGTACTTTTCCAGGAGCCCTGGGCAGCACGGATCCTTCTCGCAGGAGGAAGGGGCACTTCACACTTGCACAACAGGAGAAGGTACTTGCTACACTCCTGCCCAAGAGAGCGCTGCAAAGCAGAGCCTCTCTCCTCTAGCTGGCAAGCCCCTCGAGCTGAGGGCCACCCGAGAGGAACGGCGCGTTTGGGAATTCCACCAATTTCCGTCAGCAGTCTGGATAAGCAGCCAGCAAAGCCTACAGAGCTGCGTTAGCCTCCAAGTCGCTCTCACCACGCTCCAACCCCTCAAGCATCAGGGCAGGAGCCTGCAGCTCCTAAAGCAGCCCAGGGACACACAGGCAGTGCTGCCAGATGGCCACACAGAAACTGCAAACGGCTCCAGCAGCTGCCAGCTGCTTTCCACTGCTCCAGGTTAACCTTTCCACAAAAGGCTCCTGGCAGCTGGAGCACAGCCCCAAGCTAAGGGGGAAGCAAGACAGGCCTGGCAGTACCTCATTGCGGATCTCCTGGCTCAGCCCCACAGCCTGATCCAACGGGAAGCCGGACACCAGCTCCGTGGTGAGGACGTGCTGGCTGCACAGCTCATCCACTACTCTCGGGACGTAGAAGAAAGGGTGGTCTTTTAGCAGCTCTCTATGGGTGCAAGGAAGGGAGGGAAAAGGTTAAGAGTCACACAGGCTGCCAGGCCCCTATAGAGGGCTTTGCATGGCCCCTCTGCTCAGCTAATTTCGGTGCTGCTGCCTCTCCCCGCAGTCAGGCTGAGTTTTCCTCAGTTACAGCAGAGGTCGAGCCACCAGGAACAAAGCCAAACAGTGCTCGGAGGGCAGTGCATGCACCAGGCTGCAAGCCTGGTCTCCTGAGCTTGCATAAGGGCTTTGCATGTAGAACAGGCTCACACTGAAGGGGATGGGGTAGGAGCTGCCCACATCACCCCCATATTGCAAGTCTGACCAACTGAAATCATGTCTGTCTGAGAAGAGACACCAATGCTTGGGCATGAACACCAAGAGCTCGCCTTGTGCCGCAGCCCAGACGCATGGCATTCACCCCCCAGGGTCCCTGCAAAGGGGACATCCCTCCAGCATTGCACACACACACAGGAGAGGCTCAACACAACGGCATGAACCTACTGGAATTTCCTCGCACAGGCAGCTTCTCTCTGGTAATCACATTCCAGGGCCAGCTCTCTGCTCAGCACTTCAATCAAATGCTCTGGGAACAAACCTGAAAGCAGAAGGGCAGAAGCAAGAAAATAAAAGTTAGAGGCAGGGGAAAAAAGGACAACCCCTTAGGCTAAACATTTTCCAGTCTATAAATGAGGACAGAGCAGCACCCAAGGAGTAACCTGCGAGCCAGATGACTCCAAGTCAGCCCAGCGAGCAAGAGCCTCACAGAGCTGACCTGTACTGCCAGCCAGATACAGGTTCTGCAGGTAATTCCAGACCATGGCTACGGCACTGCTCCTAAAGCAAAGTCTTATTCTCTCCTTTCTCCCACACTGTTCCTTCCTGCTGGCTTGTGGTTTGGGCAGCTGCGGTGTCTGTATGGCCATGCAGGGAAACGTGGCTAGGGGCAGAAGCACTTGGAAACCAGCCTGGGCATAATAATAATAATGCAAAACTGCATCTCCCTGCAGTCAGGAGCAAACACAACAGGGCACAGCAGTCAGCATGACAGAGAAAGTGAATTGAATGAAGCACGAGGCAGCCAGGGCCCAAGCTGTCAAGTCTGTTTTTTTAGTCTTGGAGCTGAAAAACTCTGCTGTTCCTGGGGGAGCCACAGCTGGCACTGCAGCAGCACAAGGGCCCTGCCAGCACAAAGGGACAGCCACAGTTTTTGTCAGCACCCAGTCTGATTTAAGAGCAACATTTGTACGTTTCCCACAAAGATTCCCAACTGCTGCCAGGCAGGTGAGTAAGGAACAGCAAGTACTGGCATCACCACAGAAAGATGAGACGTATCCATGTGCTGGGGCGTGGAGCAAGCTCCGAGGGTGGCAGGTCCCACCTCCCTTCCATGCCTAGCAAACCATCAGAATCAGGCACGTGCTTCACACCTTGCAGAGCGTGCCCGGCTGTCACGCTGCCGGCCACACACACGGGCACCTGCTTCTCAGCCAGCAGCACTTCAGTGCCTGCGAGTGGGCAGTGGAGCTCCCCAGGCTGGCCCCACACCTCCTGCCTTTCCTGCTTTCCACAGGAGCTCAGCTCATGTGCTGTCTCTTCCCAAGTCACATCTATCTTCTCCTTGAGGAGAATGGCCTTGAGGCCACTTCCTGTCTTTAATCTACAGACACGATGTGAAACATATTGTTTGGAAGGGGGTGGCAACACTCTGTGTGTGCCAGAGACAATAAGGAGCTGTCAGGCCCTGACTGAAGATTGGATAGCCCCACTCGTGGGGGACCCCTACACCTGCTTAATCCACCTCCTCTGCCGAGGGGCCCAGCCGTGTTACCTTCAGGGAGAACATTGCTCATGCTCAGGACAGTCATCAGGTTGTTAACATCGCTGTTGATGCTCTGGGCCACTCCGGGGTACTGCAGGACACAAAGGAAAAAGGTGGCAAAGACACTAGATAAACCCAGGCTATCCTGCTCTTCAAAGTGTGAGAGAAATTCCAGTTCAGAACTCCAGTTGAATGTGCACCAACCCCCAGCAATAACCACCAACAGCCTGGCTGTGAACAGGACACATGCGAGGCGTGCGGGCCTCTTCTGCAAGCCTGCTCAGTGCCCAGCACCTACAGTGGGATAAGAGAGATGAGCTAAGACTCAGTCCTGGCAAACAGAACCGCCTGCTCAGTTCCTCTGACGTGGGTTTTTAAAGTGCATTAAAGAAACCCCCACACACTGAATTCCAGCAACACCGAGATACCCATCGGTCACTTCCCAGCACACGGCACTGGTGGCCCCAGAGGGTTTTACCCACGGCAACAGGGCAGGTGGTGTGGCCCCAGGGCAAACAAGTGGTCCTCTTCACCCAAGCTGACAAGGGAGCCGGACAAGACCATGCTGTGGATCTGGCTATGCTGATGCTGCAGCTCTACCTTCCCATTGCTTTTAACCTGGCCTAGCTTCAGACAGTACCTTGGACAAAAGAGGCCCAAGCAGCAGCCACCAGCACCCGTTCATGCAGCTTCAGAGTCTCCCTGCCTTAGAAACCAGGCCACCAACCAGATGTCTAGCTCTGCCTGGGAGCCTGCTCAGCTGGCAAGGAATATTGCTACTTTCAGTTGTAAAACATGCAGCTCCAGAGCTCACTCCCATTAGGAATATCAGGCCCAAGCTGCCGACAGCTTCATGAGGAGCTGGTGAACACCCTGCATTAAACTGCCACTGTTCAACATGCAGATGTTCAGCTTCTTATTTCAAGCATCCTTAAGCTGAAGGTTAAGGAACCTTCAGGCTGTCACCAGAAAGGGGAGCTGCACACGTCTAAAAGGGGCACAACTTATGGGATATGTGGGTTCCTTGCACATAGCAGCAGAGCCAAGGAGGTACAAGCAGACCCTCCCCAGCACTGCCCCTACTCTGCAGGGGTACCTGTGAGAGCTCTCCTTCATTTGCAGCCAAACCAGCTCCAATAGCAAAACTGTTTCTGTCCTTCCCCTCTGCTTGCACTAGCTAAGACGCTGCCGGAGCCAGTTTTCACTTGCATTAGATGTTTCCTGTCTAGCAGCAGCATTGCCCTTCGGCAGAGCCCAGGCAAGAGACGAGGCCAGTCAATAAAGCTCACCTGGATTTTCATGGCAACTTCTTTCCCATTTTTCAAGCGTGCCAGGTGAACTTGTCCAATGGATGCAGCAGCGAAGGGACGCTCTTCAAAGGATTCCAGCTTATCTCTCCAGTTGGGGCCAAGGTCATTGTTCAGAGTTTTCTACAAATACAATGGAAAGGGTCAGAACGTGACCAAAATTTAAGAAGCAAAAATTTAAGACTTCCATATCAGAAATCATAGAATGCTCAAGGTTGGAAGGGACCTCAGAGGTCATCGAGTCCAACCCCCCTGCACACGCAGGGTCACCTAGAGCACGTGACACAGAGCTGCGTCCAAGCGGGTTTTGAAGATCTCCAAAGAAGGAGACTCCACAACCTCTCTGGGCAGCCTCTAAGTAGACTTGCATGGCCTAGAGTAGATTGCAGTGTCTCCCTCTGCTTTCTGGATTGTTCTGCCTTCCTTGTCTTTAAACAAGATTGCAGACCCAGCACTAAGCATATTCTGCTCGCCTGGGCCACCAAAAAACAGTCTCACACAGATCCAAAGGGCAGAGATCTTGGGCAATACAAATACAGAGCACCTTATTTGAAGGCACTTGTAGTCTTGTGGAAAAGGAGTTAGATACTCCTCTGTTTTCATCACACTGCCAAGCTGAATAGTGGCAGTTCAGATACACAAGACAGACTCTTTAATGCAGTATTGATAATTAAAAATTACAGCCTGCTTTAACAGCTTTTTTGTTATGTTGCCAGACTGCCACCCTTAAGTTTTAGCTCTGCGTAGTGTCTTTTAAAGAATAAATAGTACTGGCAATTCTCACATCACCCTTCCCTACTAAAGGATGGAAAAAGAACACGTACATAGGGGAAGTCAAGCCTGGCTTATTTCATTCCAACCCTTCTTGCATGTGGATTAAATTTTTATCAAAAACAGTAAGAACAGTTTCTGTTAATCTTCCATCCAAGTAAGGCTTGTAAGTGTTTCTAAAGTGAGATTTAAGCATGTTTAGATACTTCAGAAGCAAGACTGCAGAAAGGTAACAAGCAGGAAAGAAAGACTACATTATGCAAAACCTATACAACAGTATTTGTATGCATCATCCAGTTCCAGCACCATAGCCTCAGAATGCCAAAGATGCATTTTTTCCTCTGTCCAGAGCTGAGCAGAAGAGAACTGCACCACAGAATTAAGATCACTTCTCATCCACTATTAAAGAATGTGATACTTATATTTATTAAAAACGCCAGCCATGTTTCCTGTTTGGTTAAGTCACAGGTAGCATTCATTTTGTTACTGACCCCTCTTCCCCAATAAGCAGGAAGGAACATTCTCACCATCATCTGCTTTATGGGCATGAAGTCAGCACTCTGACGTACACGCTCAAAAATCCTCTGGAGATGAGGGTTGATGAAGGCATCGTCTGCCGGGAAAAGCATAAGAGTCAGTCAAAGCAGGGCCACATCCTTCTGTTCGTGTTCAGCACACAAACTAAGGGTCCAGCTGCATGCAGGCGAGCCAGGCTTTCCTGCCTATGAGCATCCCCTGATGAAGGTTCTTAAAATTATTTCTATTTCAGAAGTTCTCCTTAGCCAGGAATAGCACCTGAGGCTCATCTCCTGGAGCATCACACGTTTCAGGAGTGAGGCAAACAGAAGTCCTATGCTCAAGCAGCAGGCAGGACAGCCACTACCTGCTCTTCACTCCTGCACAAAACCTGCCTCCTCCCCAAGTCCCTCCTAGGCTCATGTCCTGCTGCAGCAGCAGAAAGTTCCTGTGCATCCCCTCACACCTACCAGGAGAAAACCAAAGCACAAACACTCCAGAAAGTTCACTGAGAAAGTTTATGCTCTGGGGCCAACCATCAGCTGTTACGGTGTTCACCAGCTTTTTTCAATAAAACGAAAGTCCCCATGAGCCAGTGATGTGTCCTGTAAACAGCTTCCAAAATGCAAAGCCACTGGAGTTGTGCAGAAGAAAACACAGCTGAGCAAAAATAACTTACTTCGAGAGCTGGGTTTAGCAAACAAGAATTTTGTCACAAATATTTTGCCTCTTATCCAAACGGCCAGCCCAAGAGCCAGCTACGCTGCAAAGCTGGAAACGGCTCTCACCCATGCGCCCCACGGCACGGTCAGCAGGCACAGCAGCACCCTGCACGCTTCACGAGAGGCCTGGCCAGCACCCCAGAGCCTGCTAAAGGCCTCTGAGCTCTTGACATCCAAGTGAAGCTAATCAGCAAGTGTTTAACACTGCTGCCAAAGCTCAATCGCACTAGGAGACAGCAGATGAATGAGGAAAATCCCGAGCATCTCTGTGCCTCAGAGGCAGCCTTCCACAGCTGTTGCCCCTTCACTCACATCCAAGCTCAGGACAGCTGCGATCAGCCTCTCAACACACATCAGGTATAACTTGGAACAGTATTTAAGTATCTTAAGCTCTTAAATATCTACCCTCACCTAGGGTAAGAAAGAGCACTCACCTGGGCCAGGTGACTAGCAAATGAAGAGACAAGTGCCACAGGCAGGGTTCTCGGGGACAGCCAGCCACCAGGGCTCTTTTAGCTTGCCCAAGTTATCTATTATCTCCCTGTATCCAGCATCAGCACTTAGAAATTCAAGCAGAAGCACAAGCCAAGCACTTCAGGCACTCGGACACTGACTCAGTTTCAGGGACATCTTGAAAGCTATTTCCAAACAAGTGTAGCAGCTATTTTTGGCTACTTCTTCCCTTCACTGATGAGCTGGGCAGGAAGGAGAGGTGGACAGTGCCAGAGAGTGTTTGTACACCTGCTATCTCTCAGAAACGACCTAACAACTGTGTACAAAGATACAGGTGTCACTCACACCTCCACTTCTGATCACTGACTTTAGGCCTGTTGGATCAAGAATCAATTTGAAAACTTTCCAAGATGAAAACTGAGCTAAGTTTATACCTGAAAAGCTTATCAGCCACGCTGGCCCTTCCAGCAAAGCTCCTAGACAGGCTGCTGTAATGGGAGAGGGTTGTGGATGTGTTTTTGACCATACCTGGTGATCATAAAAGAGCATCATGTTTTTTACTTCCTCCTTTCCAGCAGGACACCTGTGTACTACACAGTGTAACATACCTCTGCTTTTCAACAGTTTCTTTTTAGTTCAGACATTGGAGGGCCACTTAAGCCCTCCATATTCAATTGATTTTGATTCAAAGCACACAACTCTCCCCAAACGTGACAAGAAATTCTTAACTCCACCTCAGAGAGTAGCTGAAGACGGACACTACCACTCACCTTGTATACTTAACATCTGTCCCAGCTTCAGTGCTGCTCCCCGGACCTTGCACAGAGTTCTCACGATTCTTTCTGCATTGGCCTCTGACAGGAACGGGCTGGAATCCATCACCGCCTTCTTTCCTGAGGACAAGGAGACAGCAGAGAGATGAGGAGCAACCCTACCTCTGAGTTTACTCCATTGTACTACTGCAGGTTGCTCCCCCTTCCCCAGAAATCCAAACGAGGGCTACGCTCTTTGTTCTCCCTGTGACCAGGGCAGACCACAGTCATGTACATGTGTCTTGTGCCAACTCTGGCCCTGCTGGCTGGAGGGCAAGGGCAGCCAGGCACAGCAGCGGGCTGCTCAGGCCTGCCCAGGACTGCTGCTCCTGTTCCAGCTGGCTTAGGAGACCACGCACCAGTGCGAGGCTGAAGCCCATGGCTAGAGCGCTCTCAGAGGAGCAGTAAAGGGGAACCACAGCAAGGGGTGGTGAGGTTCAAAAGCATTAACAGCACAGTGGGATAGACTGCAGATGTGCTGGCACTTCCTAGGGCAGCAGCAGGGATTCACGCTGGCCCCAACCCTCCTTTCCATACCCACCAATTCCACACCTAAACACATTTTGCAACCATGCATTTACAGCATGCACTAGGTACCTGTACTGGGCTAACAGTTCTCCCACTACCTGCTAAGCCTATATTAACATCCCTACCTAATCAGACTGAAACCTACTGTCTTCCCGATGTGCAGGCAAAACAGACATCCTGTCCCAGTGCCTTAACTCCAATACATGCCACCCACACACAGCATTTTAAAACCTGTTTATCACAGACTCTGTATTGGACGTGGTTACCAAGCCAGCCAAAGCCTGGCAGGCTGCAAAATGTCCTCACAGCAGAAGCCCAGCACTCATCCATGATACTCTATTCTTTTTGGACAACATTGCTGCTGGGGAAGCTAATCTCAGCTGTCAGGATTGCCAAGCTTTCCCTCTTGCATCTTCACAGATGCACGCTGTTCCTTGCCACGTTCCTGTGGGAAACGTGCCACTGCACAATTCAGCCCAGCTAAAGGCGCTTGCTCTGACTGTACTTAGAGGCCATGCGTGCAGAAAACCAACCCCTTCTGGCCTCACTCCCACCAGCAGTCACTCAAACACCAACTGCCACAGAACAAGGCCCAAAACATACAGACTGAAAACCAAGAATGCAATATGGCACAGGAAACCCTTATGAGAGACTTCTTAGAGAATACATATAGACACACAGAAGCCAGGGAACCTACCAAATCCAAACCTTACCCTCCCTCCACGACACTCATGCATGCACACACACCCAACACAAACACAAACCTCCCCAGAATTGACAATTGGGAAAAGGAGTTTGTTTTCTACTTGTCAGAGTTCACTGGGTCCTGGAGATGACTTTAATCATTAACAGTCCTATCGGAGCACGAGCCAAGCAGAGGCGCTGCCCACGCTCTGCTGGCTGCTTCCCTGGGACGTGGAGCCACAGGGCCACTAGTCAGCCCAGCCACGCTCTATTAGTTGCTGTTTGGTTGTGCACATTGCTAAGAGGGACATTGCATACTGAAGTAGAGTCAAAACCAAGCTTATGACTGGCACATGGGGAGGAAAAGGAAGTGAGGAGGAAGAAAAAAAATAAACAAAAAAAAACCCATACAATTGTGATAGGATTCTGAGAGGGGGGGGAGATGAAATGGAGACACAACCCAGCCAGTTTCCAGGAGGTTAAAGTGATATTGCTTCCCATAAACAGCAGCTACCTTTTGCTGCTACAAACTGTCCCTCCAATCTCAAGATCACAAGAATGTTTGCCTACGCATTAAAAGGAGAAGGAAATATAAGCAAATGAATGAAAAACAAAACCTAAGAGCTAGTCCCCTCTAGACAGCTGTGGCAGTGAGAAGGGCTCAAGGGGAGCTCGAGCTCCTGCTGCCCCAGTGCCTGGGGACAGGCAGTTCTCGCCCAGCGCAGGCAGCACGGCTAGACCCACATTTTCCTTCCCGGGCCGCCCAACCAGCTTGAACCAACGTGCACCTTGCAGCGGCTCTCCCTTCACCTTCACTATGGAGAGCCCACTGCTGGGCTTTGTGCATATTTGGTTTGAGGACCATCACATAAGCGTTGGGGCAAGAGAACAGCCAAGAACATAAAAAAGCCCTGGGGACTGGTAACTCAGGGAGATTTTCTCCCCCCCTCTGCAAGGAGGCAGCCCTGTGTTCAAGTCTAGACCAGCTCCAGCCCCCCACGACTCTGCCCAGCGCAGTGTGTGCACAGTGCCTGCCTCAACCAACACGCAGGCTGTTAAGAAGCCATAAAATTGACCTTGAATCCAAAGTCTTTGCTAATAATGGCAACTATTTATCTGGGCACTAGTTTTTATTCATGGCAGCTTTGTTCCACCCGCTCACCCCATGGCAGCCTTGCACTTTAGATACACACTCTAAATATTGAGACTGCCAACAAGGTCACTGGTTACCAGGAAGTTATTTTTGATTTGCTTGATCAGCATAGTAAGAAAATTCATGCTGGAAATGGAGTACGCCCGCCCTGTTTTTAAACCAGTAATGTGAACAAAACCACTTAAAGCACTTAGAGGGCAGAATTAACTCCTCAAGCCCATGAAGAAAACCCTGCAGCTGCATGCAGGAGGTTTGCAGTGGAATTAATCTATGCCCAGGACATGGGGCCTGGCAAGTGGTGGAAGGCGGCCGCTCAAACTCTGGTACTGCATTTTTTCTGAGGGCAGAACTTCTGTAGCTTAGGATGGTTCCTTCTTTCTTACAGTGCAAGGAAGAGAAACAAAGCTCACGTCCTCCCACAAATTTCATAGCTCTGCACGCTATTTTCACTTTGGGGTGTGCCCAATTAGAAAATAGTCTGGCAAGAGAAATAACAGTTGCACAATACTGCCCGAGTTAAAAGCACAGCAAAGTCACCAGTTCAAAACAGGTAGGAGCAGCCTGCCAAACACACAGCAAGCGCCGAGAGCAAGAGCCTTCAGGGACTCTCTAGAGGCCGTGCCTGCCAACACGGATGCTTTTAAATCAAAGTGAAGAAACGCACCCAGCCTCTAAGAGCTCACAGAGGAAAACAGCTTTTTGCTGTTCCTTCTTCTCTACTGGGCTGCTGGGCACTGCAGGACTGCAAAGGGAACACAGAGATACAAGTGCTAACGGTCAGCTAGTCCTGGAGGGCCTGGCCCGCAGGCTGCTCCCGCTGCCATACGGGTGTGTTCTGACCATGGTCTTTAATTTCTTCCATCCCGAGCCACTCAAGCACTTCCTGGAATAGAAGTTTATGCTTCCTCAAGGAAGAGGAGGGGAAGACATGGACTGGCCGGGTAGTACAATGCTGCTCTGTCCACACTAAAGTTACGGGGATTCTCACCATCTCCTAACAATGCTTCCGAACCAGGAACGGTTTGGCCTCATTTTTACCTCTCGCTGCAAGAGCTTAACCCCTTCTGCCAGTTTCCTTCAGGCACTGGGAAAATCCAAGTATACTGGCCAAACCAGGTAGAGCAGCCAGCCTGCAATGAGTTTACCAATATCCTTACAATTTGCAGTGTCCCACCCAAGCTTTCATGGATTCAACCAGCAAATGAACCAACAGCCAGAAGCTTAAAGGGTAATTTGTTGTTTTCCAAGGAAAGAACACTCTATTCTATACCCTAAACCACACATCTGCACACAAACATTCTCTACAGCCACATCGTATCCATGTATAAGCTTAGAGAAGGGACATCATGGCATGATAAGGAATAACTCAGAAATATTGTGCCCCTCCCAGCTTTAATCACACTGGGGAGAAAACCTGAACAGCCACAGAAATGCCTTTTGAGCTTATTATGAGACTCTCTGAGGGGAAGGCAAAGGCAGTAGAAGTTGAAATCTGCCATTTAACAGGTATCCAACTTACTCACCTTTAAGAGAGAAAAGGGCAGCCATCCTCCAAGTTCCTATAAGTCAACAGCCTGACATTTTAAACAGACTGCAACCACTTGCAGCATAAAGTTCCCAGACATACAGGCTCACCCACAGTTTCTGTACTGGTAGAACTGTATGGTTTCACACAATCTAAGAAAAAAATGCAAGAGCAGGCTCAAGTATAGTGTGCATGCACAGGTGTGGCTGTGGGGAAGCCATAGAAGTTATACTGAAATGAATTTATTCTCACACATACACCTCTGTCTATATGGTGAGGTTGCAGTACACCTGGCTTGGAGGTGTGGAACGAGTATTGTAATCAAGAAGCAGCTGCACCCTTTTACTCTGACCACAGCACCTTCCCAACTTCCAAAATCAAGTCTTGCAAGTGCCTATATACAGGTAGAAAAAAAAAAAAGCTTACCAGTGCGTTCTTCAGGTCTAAGGCTCTTCTTTGCAACTTCTGCCAGTGCCCCAATGCCAAGACCAACAGCTAGTCCTTTAAAGGAAGGAAAAGATCCTAATCAGTGTGAAAAAAAGCTCCTCTCCAAGCCATTGCAGAATCAGTTTTTGTAATTAATCCCTAGTCATGTGATCACATGCACAGCTGCAAAAACAGTTCAATTAGAAATATCTTCCCCCCCCCCCCCCCCCCATTTTTTTTCCTTTCAAACAAGGGAGTCATTTAGAATTTAACACCAAACTGTTTTCTCCTAGACATCTTCAGGCCAGCATGTCAGACAGGTAGCACAGACTGGGCCAGTCTGGGATGCCCAGCTTTGCTATGAAGGGTACCAAAGAAGGCTGCCCAGAGCTCCCTGGCTCTGGATGAGGTTCAGCTGCAGGTTTGAACTGGGGGATTTAAGAGAGGAGAAAAGCATTAGCAATGTGGTTCTGAAAGTAAAGAAGAAAGAAGCATATTCCAATAAAGCCATTCTCAACAGAGCTTCAAGAGGCCTAATGTTTCTTGTGCCCCTACCAGAGCAAATAAACTCAAAGATTACACCTCATACAGACTAATCATGCAATAACTATACCAAAGGGATGACTGCCTTCCTGCCTGCAAATACTTTGTTTTACTGGATAATGACAGGTACGGGTAACTGCATCTGGAGCTTCCGCGCAGCTCCTGAGCGATGGCACTGCTGCGCGATGGGATCTGCCAACAGGGCTTGGAACGCACGTCTTCCCAGCACCCCAGGCCCTTGAGTCACCGTGGGAGAGCTTCCCAGATAAAACTGTGGGTGACACAGCGCACAGCGAGGCAGGCAGAGCTTCCCGGGTCTGCACATGTGGGAGGAAACGCAGCGCGTGCATCCCCGCACGTTTTCCAGCGTTGCCTGAGAAAGCCTGGGCACAAACGAGTTGAACTTCATTTTGCATGGTGAGTCCTTCCTCTTCCCCATCAACTAATTACAACTCCACTTGCACCCATAAAATGTTAAGCTTGCATAGAATGTCTCCTTCAGGAACAGCTCCGCCTAGCACTGCTGCACACTAAGGGCACTGGGCCAAAGAACCTGGCACAAGGCAAGGCACAGGCCATAGCAGCCACCAGGGACATGGAAAGGCTTTTGCAGTAACTTCTCCCGAGGCTGCTGCCATGCAGTTTTGCTCACAAGGCAGTTTGCCTAAAGACTCAACTCCCCTTCTCCATTGCACATAGATATTTAGAAGTTAAGGTGTAAGTATATGGTATGGTACGAATCTACTCGGCAATAAAATGCTTCCAGCGTTGATAGGATGCCCCGATTTTAAGCATTTCAATCCAGTATTAGAAAACATAGAAAAAACCCTAAGTTAAAATTGGGGGGGAGGGGGGGTTGTTTGTTTGCATTTGTTTCATATTCTCCTTATTTTCTGCAGGTTTTGCTATAAAGAAGTGGCACTCACTGTTAAAACTAAGTCTGAGCAAGCTTAAAGCTATTACTTAGCTATTTGTGCAGACCCTTCAGGAGGGCAGAGCTGTGTGTGACCGCTGTATGAAAGAAAGAGATCTTAGTCTTTTGCACTCAAAATCCAAAGGGGTTTCCAAGGAAAAAACACAGACTCCTCAGGAGGAAACGGAAGGAGAGCTTTTCAAACACAGCATAAATAGTACCCATTAAAGCACTGACACGCTGTCAGCTCCAATCATATCTCATACATAAGACAGTAAATCTGAGCAGCAAATACAAACAGGCAGGCAGAAAGGGAAGACAACTGCTCTTACAAACAAAAAGTAATTTTCTAGGCTACAAATGAGTGACAAGTTACACTGCACTTGAGCTCTGCTGGCCTTTGTCCTGTTTCTATTACTTCCAAAGCAGAACTTGGCTCTGTTATTGTCAAAACTTGGCTGAACAGGCTTGGCAGTAATCGGTTCCAATCGAACAAGCCACGTCTCCTGCCAGAGGTTCTGATTCTTTCATGTTCATGGCTAAAATTTTTGTCCTCCCCATGCCTAAAATAAAACGCATTTTAAGTTATTAAACTCTTTGCATTAAGACACAAAGCACTTTAAGGGCAAATCAAGACTAGATCCTACCCTACGTTCCAGAATAAAGCCAGAGATGTTTTGTTATGCTCCAAATTCTTGCTTTTGGCCAGCATAAGCAAGATGAAGACCCCGAATAAATACACATGGGCTTTTATTACCACAGCTTTTCTTAAACTCAGAGGGAGAGATAAGAAAAGTCTGTTAGACAATGAACTCCCAGCATAAGCTTTAAATAAATTTAAAAAGCCAAGCATAAACAAGTTTAAGCCTTCGCAGCTGCTTATTACTAAAGTTCTGAAACTGGACTGAGGGCTTCAAGAATCTTCCTAATGTAATTATAGTATCCAACAGGGTACTTAACCCCAGGCATTATACAAAAATGTAACACTCCTACTTCAAACCTTCAGCAACTAATTGGAAATATCTCAGGGCACATAAAGCCTTGCTCTAAATGCGGTAGCAAGTGGGTAGAAAACATTCCTGCAGCCATGTAGGATCATGTTTATCTTTGGTGTTTGCTCCTTAGCAGTCAGGCCTGCAAGGATGTAACCAGCTGTACAGGGAAGCTATCATTAAGAAACAGGGGATCATTCAAAAGTCTTTTTTTTCTCTCAGGGACAACACCAAGAGTGGCCTCTTGTCCAAACCTCTGCAGCTTAGAAAGGGCCGTCACTTTTCTGAAGTCTCCATTATTCACTTTCCCCCTCTGTTTTTATCAAGTTGTTTATCAGACAAATTATCAAGCTAAGAGATTAATATAAACAGCTAAAATTCCTCTAGGCTGTAACTCCATCCACCAAGATCACCACTGGATATTAGTGTGACCCTGATCTTTGTGGCCATGCTGCTTTCTCCTTCACCAATTGAAATTCATTATCAGTGGCATCTGGAGCACACACAGCTCATGTAACAAAAGCTGGTGTGGAGAGTTTCACCTTTCCTTGTCTTACAAGTTAGCCTGATGCGCTAGAGTTCAGAAAACAAGTACTAACTACTCCATTCCCAAAACATGGTTCACGTTTTCCCAGCCTCTTCTACACACCCACACATCTGAAAAGCTGAGGTCGAGGCACACACTGTTTGAACACAGCTAGTGCTGCCTATTCGTTAGCAAGAGTAAAACCTCCCTCGAGAGAGGCTGCTTGCCTGTAAAGGAAAGAGCGTTCTCCTTATCTGTACCACTGGCCTACTGACCTTGCACAAGTCACTCTTGAAGTCCCCTGCTTTCCTTATGTGCAAGATGAGCAATTCCAACAAGATTTATTGTTCTGTATCAATTTTCAGCATCACTGCACAGCCACAGTCCAGCACCTTGGAAAATAACATCTTTCAGCACCAGCAGAAAGTCACCCTCCAGCATGCCGTGCTTTACCTAGGCAGGCAGATCACTTTGGGTCTGGAAAATGCCAGCTGCTTTTAGAACAGCAGCGTGTTTCTGCAGACATTTTCCAGGCATCTCTAGCGCACGCTCCACTTCAAGCCCATCGAGATCTGAATCTGCTTAGTAAGATGCCCGTGTGCACACATGCTCTTCTTGCTCAGCAGCTGGCACAGGGTGGCTGCTGAAGAGCCCATCACGGCCGCGCTCAGCCCGCCAGGCACAGCGGCAGCAGCAGCAGCAGCAGCAGGGTCTCCCCGGGGGCAGCCCGTGCTCTGGGTTCAGTCACGTCAGACACGGCCAGCACGGCGCACAGCGCCTCGCAGGCCACGGCTGCACAGAGCTCTAGCTACCTTTGAGCACCAAAATGCCCTCCAAGAGAAAAATCACACACGCCTGGCACTCGTGTATTTGAATGTTGTAGTTATCAGTGCTGTTTAGAGGCTAAGTTCATAACCTATCTAAGGGAGGTTTAATTTTTTCCAAAACTAGTTAGAATTATATCACATCTAAACATCGTTGCAAGCTCCCTGCATTTTTTTGTGGATACAAAGATGCACATGAAGGTCAGAAAGAAGTTGGGCTTTAGTTCATGATAATGTTGTAGTGAGCATGCAGAAAAAGTGAGAGGCCCGGCAAACTGTCAGCTGCAGCCCAAGTACTTCTGCCTCCTATTATTAACGTGTCCATCACCCACAGGGGTATCCTAGCACCACGGCTGAGAAATCAACATTCCCCAGAACATCTGATTCATTCAGTTCACAGGAAGGAAAAGAAAGCAATGAAAACAAGCAAGGAAATAAACAGGCAAATTGGCTCAACTGTGAGAGGCATCTCGCCAACAGCAGGGGAATTCAGCTATCTGGTCTCCAGAAAGATAAATGAAATCTGGTTTTGACTTGCTCAGCATCTTTCCATCTTCTGCACTGTTGTATGTCTTTTTGCAGCAGCGGCCAAAACCCAATGATGTTGCAGGAGATTCATTTAATCATCCCAAACCTTGTTTCTGACTTCTGCCAGAAAGGCAAGACAGAAGAAAATGGATCCGAGAGAAGGTACAAACACCACAGGCTCAGGGACCTTCCAAAACATCCACCAGCGAGGTCTGAAGCACTGAGCTCTTGGTTTACTTCAAGTTCATTTTATTTTATTTCCCCTCTTAGAAAAGACAGATAAGCTGGGCTGGGCTTCAGAAAAACAATTTCTATTCCCATCTCAGCTGGGAACTGCCTCCTACACACACACAAAAAACTCCCTTAAACCAGCCTCATTCCTCAGTTTGCAAATATTTTCTAAAAGCTGTATACACATTACCTCTTGCAGCAATCACTTCTTTGAATAAAGCCCAGAAAGACAGACTTCCAGCGAAGTGAGGGCGAGTAGCAGCTAAAATAGGCACCCAAGCACTGCCCTTCCCGGCTCATGATTTAAGAGGAAAATAGTCTGCTCTAAGCCAAAGCTCACCAAGAGCTTCAGAGCAATCAAATAAAAAAGGAAAGCAGCAAATGACGCATCACAGTTCTTGCCATTAGCTAATGTTTTTCTGGTGAAAGGCACAGTCTCTAATCCTGAAGCAGGGAGGAGGTGAGAATAGAGTAGTCTGTCTGTAACTGGATGAGGTTTTTTCCACCCCTCCCCCTAAAAAAAAATCTCTATCCTGGATCAACAAGATATTTATTTAGCTGCTCTGTTGACAGATACTTCTCATTCAACCTTTAAGCTGCTATTCTGCCTACAGAGCAGGAATACACAAAGATCCAGGAGGCCGTATCTGACAGTGGCCAACTAATGAGCTCAGGGACATTTAGTATCATCCCAGGGCTTCATGGAAAACCACAGACCATACCCACTTCCCTCTCAGGGCCAAGTTCCGAAATTCACTTGAACTTCGGCAGAACCAGCAAGAATTCAAGTACTCCTCATAATCTCTCCCTTGAGCATCGAAGACACCAAGTCATCCAGCAGAGAAGCTCCTCAGAGCTCACATAATATCTGGAGTGTTACAATGGTTCATAGATATAACTTGACGGGGGACGACGATGGACACTGCAGCAACCAGAGCATCTCCACACCTCGCAATTTTTGCAACAAGATCTACCTCTAAAGACAGGCCAAATACAACAGCCTTGACAACAATTTCAGTCACATGAACAGAAAATTAGAGAAGGGGTAAGACCAAAAACTGGGTAAAGAGAAGTATGAGAAGGATGACAAAGGATGCTGCATACCAGCAATATCTCTTTCCTACTGTCCCTTTCTGTTGTTACTTTCTCTTTCCTGGGGCAGGAGAGGGCAACTAGTTATACTCCCTCTCAAAGCATGAGTCAGCCTTTCCTCACGCAACAGTTCTGGGTGACAATAGCTAGCATGTAAAGCCACAGATTTGGGACTCAAAGTTCACAGAAACTGTGGTTATCTGCCACTTAACATCCACCAGCTGTCAGCAAGCTACAGATAAATCCAACAATTTGTAAGGTGACAGTTAAAAATGCTGCAAGACATTTCCCATTGGATTAGGAGGGAGGTTTGGATGCTGATGGAGCTTAAGAACAATAGTCAGACTGGTTTGAAAGGGATGACCTTGTCACTCCAGAAAGCAGATCATGCCTCCTGTGCTCTTCAGAGAGTACGAAGCATGCCAAGAGGACAGAGTGTCTGCAATGAAGCATAAGGTTAAAGAGATTTGACAGGCAGACATCCTTCCCTATTATAAAGTTCACTTGCTATTTAATACTGCACTGCAAAGAATCAGTCCCTGTCACCAACTCCTCCTAGCACACACAACACACTGACAAACGCAGGCATGTACACACACAAAGAATAATCATTTTTGCATAATGATCTAAATTGCATTTGAGAAGCTATATATTTTTCTTCCTCAGAGATGCACAACACAGTTTGCACATACGTTTTTCTGTCAAGTGTTGTGGAAGAGAATTTGAGCCTCAACACTAGCACACTCCTTGCAAGAGGATCACAGCCCACTTCAAGTTGCTGTTATCTCAAAATATCAGGCTCACAAAACAACTTAGAAACTACTCTATTTAATGATCAGCTAAGCAAGACCGACTCCACTGTGATCTTCCTCCCTCACTTGCAATGCTGAGATACCTCCCTTTCTCTCAGGGACACGTAAACATGCCTAAGGATAAGACATTAGATAAGCACCAATTGTTAATACTATCAAAGATGTTTGGTGCTGTACAGCATAATTCCCATCTGCAGTCTACATTTCAACTAGAGTTTGCTGAAAAGAACTAGCTTCACGCTTTTCTTGGAAGAAAATAGTTAATAAGCAATAGTTAGGTACATCAAACTTTGTCTTATCATATCTCTATCCTCAAATCAATACCAAAAAAATAGTGTATATTCCATCGCTGTTGGGGAAGTAACCTGGAGATGTTTCAGAAAGATCATTAAAAGAGACTCAAATAGGTCCAGCAATGTGTTGTCTGTGCTGACAGCAGCACAGCCTGTTGTGAGATCTAGACGAAGTTTTTCAATTGAATGGAATCCCGTATCGGTGACTGGAACACTTCTGCAGACTGGAGAACGACCTGCACTCCTCTTCCCAGTCTGCTGGAAACAGAAGGGTCCAGTACGTGTTAACAAGGCAGCGTGCAGTATCTGCCATATACTGGCAGGAGCAACTCCTCTTTTCACTTCAGAGCAGCAAGAGGAAAGCTAAGCTCCAGCAATCTGACCAGCCGGTGCTCCCAAGACAAAAGAAAACACAGGGCAGCTCCACAGCAGTTGTTAAAACAGTAGCCTGCAGAATGCATTTGAAAGGTCAGTTTGTCCATTTGGATGGGAAACAGTTTTCTTAGTTATACTACTGCAGTAACTGTTAGATATGGTAGTGGTGGGGTGGTTTTTTTTCCCCCTTAAAAAAAAAGTATAACACCATGATGAACAAAAGCCAAGACCCATATACAAGACCCATACAGAGAAGAAGCTCTGAACCAAACACCAGTTGTTTATGGGAAAGCACTTTCTTGCTTAGCAAGCTTAGAGACAAAGCAGAACCAGTTAATATATCAGAAGCAGCACAGCCATCGTTGACCATCAATGAGTATGGGCAAGCCTGGTGACTTGGCAAAAGCAGGTGCCACCTCACCTCCAAAGTTGGCGAGTCTTCCGATCCGTGTGACAGGAACTTTGCGCTCTCGGGCCCGTTCACTGAGCTGCAGCAATAGGGGAGGAGGAAGAAAGGGAGGGAAAAAAGCCACAAATGAACTGTGCATAAGGTCAGATACCTACAAATTAAGAATGCAACTTCTAACATACTTAAGGAATACTGCTCAGGTACAGAAAGTTTCTCTGACATCAAGCCCCATACACATTGAGATATTTTGAAGAAGGACGGCCATACAGTGAAGCATACACTATGCTGACAAACAAGACTTTGAGAAAGGTAGAAACGCTGACAACCAGGTTTAGAGGTTTTATTTAACTTATACATCAGCAGTCCTTATATTTTTAAGATATCCAATGCTAACCCAATCCCATGCCCAATCCCTTCCACACATGCTTTACAACTCATGGAAGGTAATCAGAGTCCTGCAGATACCTCCTCCCCACACAGGACAGCTGGGGCCATGGAAACACAAAGTTCCACTGAAGCAACAGCCCAAACACACGAACCCACAGTAGTATCTGATACGGGGTTTGGGGAAGAAGGTAAGAAGTCAGAGGAGACTCTGGCCAATCTTCGATCATGAGGAGAGATTCTGTTTTCCATTGTGCCTCTCCACTATGACAGATAGAGAGAAAAAAGACAGGCCATCAGGCTGCGGCCTTTCTGCCATGTCTCATACAAAGGCATGATGCTGGAAACAACACTGGTGAGCTACGTCACTCTCCAGTCTACGAGTGATCAAGACAATATGTCCTTCATCTCTATAAAAGGTACAAGACAGAGCTTAGAAAGCCATGACTTTCACAGAGAAGTTTAAGCCCAGTCTGTTCTTCTCCATCAGAGCAAAACTAGTAGCTAAAAGAGACAGGCTTTCTAGATCAAATGAGACCTTTTTGAGTAGTCCTCAAACCTTTGCAGCCTTAAGCTGACCTCATCTGCCCAAAATCTCACCCTGAAAACTGGTGTCAAATACTGATCTGTCACGATTGCATTAGGACATCAAGTCCTCACGGCTCAGGGAATGGGAAGAGAGTTCTCGTTTGTATAAAGCTGAAATCTAACACCATACATGTGTCTTAGACATCTTCTCACACTAAAACATCTGACATACAGGGAGCTGGTGTGAGAGAACAGTCTGAAATGCTTGACAGTAGATCAGATCTAAATTAAGAAGCACTAACACTTCCCTTTCATCCCCACAAGAATGGAATAGTGAAAGTGTCAGAGGGGAGAACCACAGGAAGGGGCAAGGACAATGCAGAAAAACAGTGCTAAGAATCCTTACTAATAACACACACACACATATATATACATACCATCTGTTTGTAAGGTTTCTGCTCTGAACCAGTTTTGGCCTGTCTGGCTTTATCAATATCTTCAGCTGTCAGTCCACCAACTGAAGAATGGTCTTGGTGAAAAGCTCTGTTTTGTCCAAAGGCAGCAGCAAAAGGATTTCCAGGGTCCCTAAAGCCTCCAAACAACCGTGCATCCATTTTGCCAGGGAAAGGCTTCTGTCCCAGGCCTGAATCTCCAGTCTCATCAACATTTCTAAAAGGTCCATTTGTAGTGTAAGAATGAGCAGGGCCCTCACTGCTGTGTTCCTGGTGCTTGCTGGGGGGAGCAGAGAAGTCCATTGAAGGATTTGATGGCTCTGGTGCTGAGAAGTCATAGTCTTTCCCAAAATCATCAGTGAGATCAGTTAAATTCTCCTGCTGTTGGCCTAGTTCCTGAAAGCAAATAGTAGAAATAAAACTAAGAACGGGACTTAAAACTTAGTACACGAGAATCACAGGTGGACACGCAGGCTGCCCTGCCTTTGCAAGGAGCAATTTATACAGAACCTGACACCAGAGCCATTCTTCACAGGGAGGTGGAAAAAGACACTAAGGACATCTGGGACCACAGGTGGTCTTAAAACTGCATTGATGGGACAATGAATTTTCATTAGCAGCAAGAGACACTAATTCTAGAGATTGCTACAAGCAATACACTGCCCCTAAAAAAAGGGCACAGAATGGCCTGAGATAGCTTCTGCTGTCCCTCCTTATTAGAGAGCCACCCGCATGCTCAGTGAGTGTTTGTCCCAGTGAGCTCCCTTCGCCCCCACCACCCTCCAACACACAATGTCAGCACTTCCCAGGCCAAATCTACCTGAAGCTTCTTCCTATACAGCAAGAAGCTCAGGCCTCCATGGCCAATGACATTAGCAATTTTAAAACATATCAATCAAGCAATGATCTATGTCAAGGTTGTTGCCATCCAAAAAAACAGGAAGGTGCTAGAAGCAAGGAGAACAGTGCCAAACAGAACAACACTCAATATAAGCTTCTCCTGGCTGTCTTCTGTTCAGATCTGCAACAACTGCCCCACGAACCCAGATACTTCCCATTAGTTTTTGGCACAGGCAATACAAGAGCCAGCAGCAGAGCATTAACTCTGATTTGTTACTCTACGTATTTCAGTTACCTGTCTCTGTAACAACAAAACCCTGGAGGTACTGGTGATTATTAAGGCCCATCAAAAGGTTTTAAGTCCTGCTGTGGTCAGGCAAGCAGGCAGCATATTTTAGGCTCTTTCCTAAGCACTAATTATTTTTCACCCCTCCTGGCAGGAAAAAGCAGAATGAAGCCCTTCCTGTTATGCAGCAGGTCTCATGCTATTCTGAGCATCAAAATCACTTGTGGGATGTGGTGGGGAGCAAATTATGTATGGGGACCACAGCCACAACACTGCTTAACAACTGAAAGCAAAACAGCCTCCATTTCCATACTCCAATCTTTAAAAGCACATCAGGCAGTCAAAAACTTGCCACAGATCAAGAGACAAGAAATACAGTCACTTACTATAAAAGCCTTCCTTGTTTCAAAATAGAGAAGTCTTGCAGCTCAGACTGCAGGTTTCTTAAGAGGCCCTGCTTTGGCAGCAGCTCCTCCTACAACTCATTTACAGAGTACAACTTACAGGTGCACGTGCGTAGATTTTCTCTTTTGTAGAGAAACATACATAGAAACAGGAAAACACTGTCTTGTGGATGCAAAAGGAAGGCAAAGGCATGACAAAGCACCAACAAATACACCTTGAGTGTTTCTCAAGTCAAAGCAATGGCAAGCTTAAAAACATACAATCAGATTGCAGGGCTGAAGCCAGAGGATACTACCATGATAGTCTGAACTTACTGCACAAAATAAACCTCAAAGCCTCACCCATTAATTTCTGCTTCAAGACCATAATTTATTTGTGGTGTAGTATCTTCCTAAGGGATGACTGTTCCTTGTTTAGGTAACTTGCATCTCCTGAAAAATCTGAGGCTTGTCTGAGAAGGAAGACAGAAAACGGAATGTTCTTATCCATACACATACTGATAATAAAAACTGCTATTAAAAAGAGACTTTTCCTCATTCAAAAAACAGACTCCACTAGGAGAATACACTGACCTTCAGCTTTACTCAAAAAAGTGTCACATGCATCAACTCTATAAAGAAAGGCAGAAGCACTAAGCTAACGCAAATTTGCTCCAGAAGAGGTCATCTCAGTCAAAGGACGGGTAATGATGACCAAACTGTGAAGGAGACCAAAAGCAACAAAGCTGCTGGCCAATCTTAACTAGACCTGGCACTCTGACAAGATGAGGACAGCAAAGGACATCACTTTCAGCATGCCTTAAACAGTCATAAATGGAAACTGATACACTCCACAAGTATCCTCCCCTCCTATTTGTGTCCAGGCACCAAACACCTACTGCACACCACAGGGCTCTGGGAGATTTTGCAGCTTGTTCCATCATCTGTCATTTTGCCTTGCGCTTCATACAACTAGATCCGAGTTCACAATGGGAGTTCCTTGCCACTCTCACAATATCAGTTTCCAGAAGAAGGATGTAGACCTACTGTACACACAAGGTTTCCTTACCTGCATTTTCCCCATGGCAGAACTGAACCGTTCCTCGGCAGCGGCCTGCAGGCCCTTGGCGATGGTAACCGCATCGCCCCCGAGGAGCGTCTGCCGGAGCTGCCCTGCCTGGGTTTCCAGCACGGCCTTGCTGAGCTTCGTCAGGCCTCTCATCACCATGATGGCATCGCCTGCCATGACTGCTCTCCTTCAGTGCTGAAAGGAGAGAAAAGACAGAAAAAAAATAAAAAAGAAGGGTTATAGAACAGCAATAACAAGAAGTTTGCAACCAGCTTCAAGTCCAGGATGTGCCACTGGTTTTCAGATGGCAATCTCACTCCCCTTTGGCAACCAGCCACTGTGAGAAACTGCTTGCACTGCAGATAACAGTGGGCAGCCTGAAAAACATCTGGCTGGCCAGGCTTACCAGGGCAAAGTGAGAACTCCTCCTACGAGCATGCACTAGTTTGGACAGCATTCCAAGACTTTACACAAATATTCATGTTATTGACCAGGGGCAGGCAAAGACAGGTAGATGTCAACAATCCTGCAAAAATGGTCCTAATTTCTTTACAGTCTTTTAAAGATTAAATCCATTAGCATTTTACCTTTGATTATCAGACCTTGAAACATATTTTCAGCGCTTGGTAGCAAGGATGAAGTGTACTGACAACTGCCACATCCCATCCCCACCTTGGAACCAAGCCAAGCATTTAACATGGCACCAGTTCTTCATGCCCACATCAGTAAGCGAACATTGCCTATCCTCCAAAGGTACCTACTCATCCCCCAGTCTGCAAGTCAACTGCCACATGCAACTAGAAACTTGCCATGCTCTAAAGACCTCTCTGCCATGACCTTAAAAACTATTTGGAAGCTGCTTACCACCACATAACACACAGTCAAAACTCAGTATCACTTCCTACTTGAGAGGCACCCTGTTTCAGATCCACAACAGTTTCTGCTATTTCAGTGTCTTCAAGTACAAACTGGACAGTATTAGAATTATAGAATGTTTTTGAGATGAAGTTCAGCTGACTCCTTTTAGCACGGCCTAGAGCTAAGCTCAGAACACTGGCTCTCCTATACTGCTATGGGACAAGTAAGAAAAAAACAGGAGTGGCTTATTCCAAAGAGAATATTTCAGAATATTTCAGAATATTTAAGGTTGGAAGGGACCTCTACAGATCATCTAGTCCAACCTTCCTGCTCAAGCAGGCACACCTACAGCATGTGGCACAGGGTGGCATCCAGGCGGGTTTTGAAGACCTCCAGAGTAGGAGACTCCACAACCTCCCTGGGCAGCCTGTTCCACTGCTCTGTTACCCTAACAGTAAAGAAGTTGCTCCTCACCTGGAGACGGAACTTCTTGTGCTTCAGCTTGTGGCCATTACCCCTCGTCCTATCGCTGGCCACCAGTGAAAACAGCCTGTCCCCTTCCTCCCTGCATTCTCCCTTCCTGAACTTATACATATTAATCATATCCCCTCTGAGCCGTCTCTTCTCCAGAGAAAACAGGCCCAGCTCGCTCAGCCTCTCTTCATACGAGAGATGTTCCATTCCCTTAATCATCCTGGTTGCCCTTCTCTGGACCCTCTCCAGAAGCTCCACGTCCCTCCTATACTGGGGTGCCCAGAACTGAACACAGTACTCCAGGTAACTGTTCCTCAGAAAAGGAGGCCCATGGATATGAAATAAACAGAGCAGATACACACAAGCTGCGCTGGGCTCCCAAAGTCATCTTGCTAGGGAGATTTCTTTTTCTTTCATTTTCCACATCTTTAAAGTACAACAAGGGTAACTCAGTGTGGACCTTTCAGCAGCCTGAGGGGTTGCAATTCCAGGGCTGGCTCAGTCACATGCACTCCCTCCCATACCTTCCAACACAGAAGATGGGGCCACATAGTTGCCGTAAGACATGGCCTAAGGCTCTACTTCACCCACAGATCTGGACCAAACAGAGAGCAGTAGCCCCAGAGCACTAGCAAGGCCACACATTTAAGTTATTACCAAAGTATACACACAGACAACATTTGTTTTTTTAGGATATTCATGCAAAAGTATGGATTGCTATAGCTCAAGTTCAAGATGCACATATAATTTCACTGCAGTCACACAGAAGAAGCATGGATTGCTGCAACTTCATTTCAGAAACACTTATGTAAACAGTGGTTCAATATGGGTTACTGGAGTCTTTGTTCAACATCTGTTAATCAGTGATCAAGATCAGGAACAAGCACTGCAGCCAGGAAGCAAGTGTTAGACACTATATGCCCCGAGGATGGACTTCAAAAGGACAGACAAGTGCTAGCAACATTATCTGGGTTTAATGGGTTAGCGGGAAGAAAATAAAATCAAGTCCACGCAGGTCACTGCTCTGTGGTTATCTTTACAAAGCTGTCCTACACGCTTCTGACCTATTCAAGTGCTGCTTCTGAATCTCTCTGGAGTTTAGTTATCAAGGCTGGTTTTAGTGATGCATATTACACTTGAAAACTTAAATGCCATTTGTTTGGTACAGAGATTTACTCTGCTAACAAGAGTGTTTCCTTCCCCACATCTTTACACTGAAGGCCTCCACATAAAGCCCACCCAAATCACCTGCAGCTGATGCCTGCAATTTAGTGCTAGAAAAAGCAGTTAACCAACAGCACATTACTGTCCTATCTGAAATTAAACCTTTTAAAGGTTGCCTCTACTGAAATGCACATCTTTTAAACAGTGTCATTTATTAGATGCATAAAAAAGATTGAGTATGAACTACTTCTTCCCCTCGAGGAAGGACAATGACAGGTAATGCAATATAGAACACTAATATAATGAACAAAGTATCTGCTTTTACATGGATTCTTTCTAACCAATAAACCTTCCGTTCACCCAAACAAGAGTTGATGGGCTCACTTTGAGCTAACAGATATTAAATGGGCATTTTAGTAAGTTTTCCAAAATAAAATTCAGTGGAGAAGTTAATGCAACCACAAACGGAAAATACATTGCTCAGTGCACTCAACCCCACCACACTAAATATATCAGTGAGCAGAGAAGACCAATTCCTCTTTACTGGTTTTAGCTACAAAAGCCCAAACTAGGGCTCAAGTCATTGCTACTGATGTCTGCCAACTTCCATGCCCTCATCATCACTTTCTACTGCACTGTGGCTATAACCACCTATGTTTCACACAAGAGTTTCAGTTCCAAAGAATCAGAAACACATCCTTATGCTGCACTTCAAGGCCAGGCTTCTATTACAGACCATCCCATCCAGCACCTCTTTACTCACTCCTCTCTAACAATGATAAGAAAGGTAGGTCTGAGGCTTTATAACAATTAATCACTCCCCCCATAACTCCCAACCCATCCTGTGCAGCAAACACAGGCCTGCAGGCTGCTGACTGGCTTTTTTCAGGGATCTTTCCCACACCATATACACGTAGCTGGCAGAGGACAAATTGAAACAACTGCTTGAGGATAATTAAATACAAGGCATAGTTCAGTAAAAACTTCATAGGTCACAGCCAAAGAGAGTAACCAATAACTAAAGACTGAGGAGGAGCATATTTCCAGAAGGGAAACAGTACTGCAACTGTAAGGCAAATCTATTTGTAAGCCACCCCCTTCAATTCCTCATTCTCTGTATACTAAGCATTTGATACTAATAAAGTTCAGTCAACAGAGAGGGGGAAAAAAATAGAGGAAAGGAAAATATGCTGTAACAATTAATCCTTTGGTCACAAACATCAGGAGCAAGAAAATATTCATCTAATATCCAAAATCATCATGCACTATGAAAATGAGAGTTAAGAAGTGCAATCAGAACTGAACTCTACTGTAAGCCTTTTCCTCACTAGAGAGAGGAAAAAAAAAAAAGCAAACCTAATTTTGTGGATCCTACACGCTACAGAACAGATTACTTTCCAGCTCATTGCCAGGAAAACTAATCAGAGATTAATGAGGTTCCTTTTTCTGTGGAAGAGGGATGAGCACAAGCAAGGCTAGTAGACAACTGAAGGATGGAAGAACATGTACTCATGAAGCAGAGGACTGGCACCACAGTACCAACAGAACGTGCACATTAACATCTGATAAAGACAAGGGAATTGTTTCTACTGCAAGCTCCATTCATGCTTCCACAAACTCAATAACAAGTGCAAGCAGACTACCAAAAACTGATTTAGGGAATGCTTAAAGCTGCTGGTCCAGGTCCACAAAAGGTGTATTATAGTTAACTTGTCCTCACCCCCAAGGAGGCATCACCCAGTGCTGGCAGAGTTCTACATGCTTCCTGTGCAGAGCACTGACAGGTTGGTCGTGTCCATACAAGCCGTGAGAGCCTCTGGCAATGCTGCCTGAGGAGGGCTGACAAGCATCAACCACAAGGGTTGAAGAGGCGTAGGCCAGGTCGCAGTATTTGCACAGTGAACTTTCCCAGCTCAATGAACCTCCAGAAAGCAGCCCGTACCTTGCAGCACGGGAAGGCAGTTTGGCACTGGGGAAGCTGGGATCAAGGCATTCATGGGCAGGCGGAAGGGCTGTTGTGGGGCACGTGCTACAGCAGGAGCAACTTGACATAAAAACAGACTTTGAACCCTCCTGTAATGACACAAAACTAAAATCAAATATTGCAAACTAGTTGATTGCTTCTATGTGCAGCAACCATCTACCTCAAAAAACAATCTCCTAGTGAGTAACAGCAGTTGATTTCCTTTTTTCTTCAACATACCACACTATGAGACTGAAGGCTTAAGCAAGTACAGCAAGACACTCAATAAACACATCAAAGGCCAAGCACCTAAAGGAAAATACTCGAATAGGTAGCAGGTAAAACTTACAATTCTTACATTCACACTGCTGACAAAACCCTGTCCTACATCTGAACCCAAACCACGGTGCAAGGCTCAGATTCCCTTAAACTGAATTAGTCTTTGAAAGCAATTTTAGAAATATCCTTGCACAAATAAAAGTTTGCCAATGGCATTTAGAACTGCAACAGCTTCCAAGCAGGCTGCACTTGTTTACACCCTATTCCCTGGGACAGCAGCACCTGTCCTGATGGAGGAGGCTGGTTTGCAGACAAATGCACTTTCCTCCCAAAACGTAGAAGGTCTAGCAGCTATTTTTGCCGAACGATAGCTAGCTCAGAACCCAGTATGCACAGTTTGCATCATAAATAAGGAGTTTGACACATGCCATAGTCAAAAAAAAAAATATACATGCTT